AGATGTGTGATTGTCACAACCTGGGGGGAGGCATGTAGGAAGAGGCCGGAGATGCTGCACAACAGCCTGTAATACCTGGGCCCCCCCCCCCGACACACACACACAAGAAGGGTTGTCCTGCCCCAAATGTCAATAGTGCAGGGTCTCAGAAACCTTCAACACCACAGCAGCCTCTTTAAAAATACAGGTGGAAGGATGTTGGTTTGTACGTGATGCTCTTTACAAATGAAATCAATTTAGAAGTTAAAAAACAATGTTGTTTTTTTGAAGGCAGAAGCTAGGGAGCAGTCATCTCCTGAGGAGGCAGGGAGGTGCAGTGGTTGGCGGCATGGCTGGAAAGTCAGATGGCCGTGAGCTGGATTCCAGGGCCTGTGTTTCCTTGTTCTGTGACCTTGAGCAAATGACCCCTCTAAGGATCGGTTTCCTCATTTGTAAAATAGGTGCAGTCATGGGGCCTGCCTGCCTCATCGGATTGTGACAATGAAGTGAAGGGAATATGTCAAGCAGTTGGTACAAAGCATAGCATTCAGTAAGCGCCCAGTAACTGGAGGCAGAACCCAAGCGCTGAGGGGACACCACAGGACTGAGAAAGGGGTGGCTCCGTTCTCAAAAATGTGTGGTGTCAGGATGGAAGTCTTTCTGAAATCCTGCTTCTGAAATCACCACAGAACCTCCCCTACCACCCAGAATTTTGCTGTCTAAATTCCTGCTGGTTTTGGTTTTCGTTTTTTTTCAATATTTGTTTCTTGACTGCAAATAAACAATCCCGGGTTGGGCCTGCAGAGGCCTTCACACCAAGGAAAGCGTTCTCAGCAGGAGCCGTGGCTCAGACAAGGAGGCCGCAGAGCTCGCCCCTGCCCCGCCTTCCCCACTGTGCTTAAGAGGTGCTTTGGGTTACCTCAGGAAAACAGCCTGCATCAACAAAGCAGCCCAAGACAAATAAACGCTGACCCTGCTCAGGCTAATATTCAAGGCATTCGGCCACAAGAGAAGAAGGAGTCCTCACAGACAGGGAGGTCTCCTGGATGCTTTGGTAGCTGGCTCCTGAGAGAAACACAGAGAGAGGTGGAGGAGGGAGGGAGAGAGGGAGGGAGAGAGAAAGAGGGGGGGGGGAGAGAGAGAGAGAGAGAGAGAGAGAGACAGAGACAGAGAGAGAGAGAGAGAGAGAGAGAGAGAGAGAGAGGAGGGGTGGAGGAGTGGGGGAGAGGGGGAGGGAGAGAGAGGGAGGGAGAGAGAGAGAGAGGGAGGAGGGGTGGAGGGAGATGTGTAAGTGAGAGGGAAGTCATAGTCTCCTTTGGCCGAATCTCAGAAGTGACATTTCATCACTTCTGCCATATGCTGTCCATTAGAAGCCAGTCACTAGGTGCAGCTGACACTGCAGGGGAGGCGATCACGCTGGGGCATGACAGCCAGCAGCCATTTTCAGAGCAGCTTGCCACAAGGGCTGCATATGTGACATACACGGTGTGGACACACCCCTTGCCTGCAGGGCCTTGCATCACTGTGTACCTGGGAGCTTGTGGGGTACTTGCCATTTTCAGAGGATTTATTGGGGTCTCGGAAAAGTCATGACATATTTTTTCTACCTTTTTCGTTGGAAAAATGCATCATGACTTTTCTGACAACCGTATACGTTGAACAAAAAGAGAAATTCTGGTCTGTGGGGCCTGGAAACTATCCCGGAACATGGAGTCTCTCTATTCATCTGGCCCATTTTATCTCAAAGGTATTGTATTCGTTTCCTGTTGCTGCTATGACAAATTACCACAAACTCACAAACTTGTGGCCAGAAGTGTTCAGTGAGTTCCAAGGGGCTAAAGTCGAGTTATGGGCAAGGCTGGTGCCTTCTGGAGGCTCTGGAGAAGAATCTGTTTCGTGGCCTTTTCCAGCTTCAGAGGCTGCCTGTATGTGTTGGCTTGTGGCCTCTCCTCCATCCCCAAAGTGCATCACTCCAGCCTCTGCTTCTGTTATCAGGTTGCCTTCCTCTGGCCTTGGTTCCTTCTCTGTCCCTCTTATCAGGACCCCGTGATTACATCAGGCCCACCCCGATAAGCTCCCCATCCCAAGATCCTTAACGTAATCCATCTGCAAACTCCTTTCCCCATGTAAGGTATCATTTGCAGGTTCTGAGGATCAGGGTTGGGCTATCTTTTGGGGGCCATTCTTCAACCTTCCACACTTGCATAACTGAGATAGCCAACTAAGGGGTCTTACTGTCATCCTCTAATGCTGTGATCCTTACAGTCTCCAAAAACACCAGCTGTGGCCCCTCACTGCTCATTGAATGCAGCCCAATCAGATAACCTGGTTGTGTTGTTACTTGATTGATTGATTGATTGATTGCTTCAGGATCCTTTCTGCCCTTCCCCTGCAAGTCTCCTTTGCCAGCTGTCTTGGCTGCGTTTGGCCACTGCACTGGTGAGATCTTGGTGGCCTGAGGAAGCCGCCAGGGTACATCCTGCGCCCCAGCTCAGACAGCGTCTATGTAGTGACTGTGCTCTCCTTCGAGGTTCCAGCTCCCACCAGCCAGGCCCTCCCTCCCTGCACCCAGCTCTTACTGGGCAGCCTCCCCTGGGGATCAGGCACCCTTGCGGGTGCCTCCTGGCTCTTAGGCTCCAGCCCTATGGGTGGGTGGCAGCTTCCTGCTGGTGCTAATTCCAAGATGGTTTCACCATCCCTTAGTAACCTTTGTAATTAGTTACCATCTCCCGACACCCTTATAACTAATCCCTCTTAGTAAATTCTTTCTTTTTTTCTACCAGCATGGTTCTGACTGACTGATATGCTGGTTTTCAGATTGCCCCAAACTGTTCATTCAACCTTATCTCTCGGATTCCTTTATTCTAGCTAAACCAAACCACACGTTGTTCTTCAAATAGACTTTCCTGCTTCAGGAAGGGTATGCTCAAGTCATTCCTTCTGTCTGGAATGCCCCTCCCCCATTCTTGGCTTTGCTCATCAAAATATTTTGGGTGTTTTGAGGATCGTTTCAAAATCTCCCTCTTTCCACTTGCCTTTGCGTGCTATTCCTGGAATCGTGTCCTTTTCCTGCTGTAGTGCTATAGCAATGAACTGTTACAATGTACGCAATGCTTGATCACACAGTTGCCTTGAGTTGAAGACTTCTGGTCTGATCATAAGCCCCCATCATTTTGGAGTCCACACAGTGTACTCTGTAGGTACTGGTCAATTGTGTTATTTAATCAAATGAATATTGGGATTCTAATCATGGGCATGACTCGTACTACGATTCTCTGTTAGATAAGAGGTGATTAGTTTTGTTTTTGTTTTTTTTTTTTTACTCTTACCAGCTATTTTTACTCAAGGCTGGAAAAACAAATCCTATGTTTTAAAATTACAAAGCTTCTCTCCATCCTCTCACTTTCATTAGTGCAAATGATCTGAGTCTCAATTTCCCAATCAAAAAATTAGTATCTTTATCCTAGGACAGCATAGGTTAAAAAGCATGATGAAAATGTGAGCTATTTCTGTCATCGTCAGAGTGACGAGGTTGGCATAGACGATTTTTCTTGTTTGTAAGCAGTTGGTCCAATCAGTCTGCAGCCCCACCAAGTCGCGTGTCCATTAGCTTGTGTGACAAGCTGCAGAGATGATCGATTTTTTCTGTTTCTGTGAGCGGGGAAATGACTCTTCAGGCAAAGAAACCTGAGCCTGTCGCAGACGTAAGACAGTTTGGATTGACCAGGCTACCTAAACCAGACTGGGACAGCGGTGACAGGAACATAATGACTCAGGTGGGTATCCTTACCTATCAGGTGTCTGTGAGCAGGTTGAGTACCCTGACAACGCCTGGGGTCCATTCTTCTCTTCATGCTCGGCTGCCCGGGTGCAGTCCCAGGCACCCTCAGTGACGCTTACCCCGTTTACCAAGCAGTAGATGCAGGCTTCTCCCCCACGCTCCCCTGCTAGCGCCAGGGTCCAGCCAGTGCTCTTCACGATTCCCAAACGTTTGGTCAGCACTGCCAGCACCTAACAGCAGGGCTACAGGTGTAAGGGGGTTCCTGGACATATTTGAAAATCTGTGATGTTGTCCCTAGCAGCCTTACGCAATGAAAGGTGGCAACTCCATCCTGGAAAAGAGGGGCAGCCGCTGAGAACATGCTCCCCACAACCTTCCTTAAGCTTTCCAAAAGGGGACTCATGTGGAGCTCACCCCAAACCTGCCCTCCTGAGAAACACCACTCCCCAAGACGCAGAACTTTTAAATTGCTCGGTAGGTCTTTCTCCGAACACTCTTACTTGCAAACCTTGCTTTTGAGGAGCAGCTTTTCCAAGTCTGGAATTCATCTTTATGTTTGCGAACAGTCATCTGGGGGTGGGGTGTGGAGTGGGAAGGAGGGCGGTGGGCGATTGCAAACCTGCGGGACTTCCCGCTTTACATGGCGGCGGCACGGCCGTTTCCTGTGCCATCTGCATGGGGCCACAGCACCGCACTGGTTAGGAATGTGACTGTTACTTCCGGATGGCTATTTAGTTCCTAAGCCCAAGCAAGGCACACAAGTGACAGGTGATAGGTGTAGAACCAGAGCTTCCAAACCAGAAACAAGAGGAAGAAAGGAAGCGTTGTTCATTACAAGGCGTTTTAAAAACCCAAACAAAAACATTGTGAATTGTATGCTGAGTGTACTGAAGTCAAAACGGAACGAGGCTGAACCCGCCATGTAGCTGCGGCAGCATGGGTGCCCATTTCACCCCTCATGATGGGTTTCATGCTGAATTCGGACCGCCTCCCCCAGCTGGGAAGCACTTCCACAACTTCGATCATACACCAGGTTCAGGACCTCCGTCTGTAATGCAGTCAGGTCTGGATCAGGAGGTGTTCCCCTAGATTGGAAGGCCCCTGGAGGCAGAAGCCACATTTTCTTTATCCGTTTCCCCAGCACTGAGGATGAAGTGTTAACACCAACCCGGGATGATTGCATGGCAAATAAATGACCCACTGACTCAAATATTACCTGTATTTAGGAACAAAAGTTCCTATACGTCAAGTTGTCCACGAATGAGCCCCAAAGGTGAGATTTGGACTGAATTTTGAAGAAAAATCAAAGGAGAGGGGGCCAGGGGAGGTGTACATCTAGCCCCCTCCCCACTTACCTCACCCAACGCTGAGCACGAGGAAGAGGACATTTGGGGCCTGGGGAGACGCAGGGGCAAACGTGTGTGCTGGAAATGTGAAAGGTGGGTGGATGTATTCAGGGCTGGTTGCGGCATGAAAGGAAAAACAAGGGATTATGGTAAATACATCCAGAAAAGTAGACCAGAGTCATGAATTTGGGAAGTTTTTAAACGATGCTAAGGGGTTTTCTTCTTGAGTCTTTCCATTTTCCCCCAGTGATTGCCCGAATTCGGGGTTGAGAAGAATGAGGCAGCTGTCTGCGTGATTCACCCAGGAGACTGTTGGAGAGGAATGAGAAAGGGAGATCAGCTGACCCCAAGCTGACCCCAAATGGGCATCCTGACCTGCTCTGGCTGCAGGAAGGCCCCAGGTGGTGGCCCTGGGTGGTAGATCCCACGTGGTGACCCCAGGTGGCTGTCCCTGCTTCTCTGTCCCTGTGACTCAAATAGAGGCTGCTTGCAGCAACACTGTCCCCTCCCTCCCATCGTGGCCCCTGGGGGCCTAGAGGAGACTGCATCATTTTGTGACTTCAGAAGTAGAAGTGGAAGGCAGAGGGACAGGGGCCGTCCTGCCAGCAGGAGCTGGCTTGATCAGGCAGGGACCCTGGCGAGGCTGCTGCTGAGTGTGGATGAACCCAGGAGCCACCAGCCCCCTGGGAAAGGCGCTGGGCATGGGTCAGACCCACACACATTGAAAAGATGCTTTTACTTTGGTCTGCAGCATTGACATCTCTGGGGGTGGTGCAAGTTCAGCGAATTACTGGGGCTCCAGATACCTCTTGTATTCCAGTTAATCAGATTATTTTGACTGATTAAGCAGGATTTGTTAATAACATTCACTTATGAGCAGTGGAGAACTTTATTAATAAGTCATTATGTTGGGGACTTTAAATACCTGGCATTCAAAAGACATTCCGGATGCTTTTGTGTTACAAGCTTCTGGGCTCTCTTATAAGAAAATCACTCATAGCTGGTGTGTTGCCTTCCTGCCATGCTCAAAGGCACCACTGAAAAAACCCAGGGACATGCCCCAAACCTTTACAAAGTCAGCTGTTGCTTTGCTCTGAAAGGTACAGGTATGTTCTTCAATTCTGCTTAGTGTTTCCTCCTAACCTTTCTTTAGAAGAGTGTCAGCCTGACTGGTTCTTCGTGAAGAGATGCATCAAAAAGCAGAGGCTCCTCTGGGTGATAGATGGAGACACGTGGTCTCTTCTTCCCATTTTAGAGACAGAACACTTGAGGCACACCATCAGCTATTTTCCTATGGGCCTCCTCATGCAGAGAGGAACTAAGTTAGGGAAGAGAGTGAGGAGAGGTTGGAATCCAGAGGGCTCAGCTCTCAGTCTCCCCCTGACTCCAGTGCAATGAATTCTGTAGGTGCCTCTGGCCCCCTGCCATGGCTGACTCTGGGAGTGATGGCGGAGCTCACAGGCTCTGAGTTTTCCACGTGGTGAGTTTGGCCACGCTGACTGCTCTGTGCCTCAGTTTCCTCATCTATCCCTACCTCCTTGTGTTTCAGGATTAAATAAGTTACCACGTGTCAAGTGTTTAGGACAGGCCTGGAATATTTGGAACTCAGTAAAGGGCAGCTAATATAACCTGCATGGTTCCTGGTACAGTCGTGAGCAGCAGAGCTGCAGGCAGGCACGTTTATCGAGAGCTCCTGCCTTCAACGACTTCACTATGTGGTGGTGGAGGAAGAACATGAACCCATAAAACAACACTTACGAGGGCACATAAAGATTAGGAAGCACAGGGCATAAGCCAGGTGTCACATACTCAGGTGTATTCAAAAGCTAAGCAGTTGACTTAAGTAAGAGACAAGGAATGGGGGAGCCTGAGGCATTGATAAGTGAGGTCTGTTTAAAGGCATTCCAACTCAATTGTAAAAACACTCTGTGGGCTGTACCAGTCACATTTAAGGGCTATATCTGGGCTGTGTGCCCAGCAGCTGGTGTAATAACTGAGCTTTGACGTGAAAAGGCAAATAGGACAGGTTAAAATCAATGAGAGAAGAACTGAGGAAAACATGGTAAGGACACAATGAAAGGGGAAGACCCTGCCCTTTGGACCTGGGATGGTCTGCTCAGTGTCTGGAGGCCCCAGATGTGGGGCCTCTCCCCATCAGCAGATTAGCCACTCTTACCCAGGGCACCCCTTGTGTTATTTGTTGTGTGGATAAAAAAGGGACACTGTAATAAACCTAACAGAAAATAACCTCACAGGGTGATCTGATCATAAATTCCTATCTGGGCAGGTTATGGTGGGTAGACACACACCAGGCCTGTAACTTCCCTAGTAAAAGGTTTACCTTTGCCTTAAGCCCCATCCCATTGTTTCTGTGCCTCTAGGTTAACACACCTTTGAAATGTCCCTTTTTCAGACCCCTGGGAAGCATAACCACCCTCCAGAGAGCGCATAATCTTCTTAACTATCCTGTAATCCAGTTCCTGCCTGGTTTTCTCTCACCTTCATGTAATCTTCTTTATGTTCCCTCCTTAATTCCAAATGCATAAAAGCAACTGCAAACTCTCATTCTGGGGAGCATTTTTCTCAGTCTGTTGAGATCTTGCTTCCAAGCGTATCCTCCATTTGGCTCAAATCAACTTTAGTAAACTCTTACAAAATTTTTCTACAGGTTTGGACATTCTTACATTGACCGTTTCTTTTCCTTTCTCCATTGTTTTCTTGCCCTCCTTTCTTGTATCTCCCTTTATCTTTGCTTCCCACATTTGTCTTCTCCCTTCTCCCCACCCTCGGCCTTGCGTGGTGCACAGAGGTACCTAAGAACATGTGAAGTCAGTGGTGACATTTTGTATTGGAAGAGGGGGCCAGCCTGGGTTCATGGATTTTAGGATAGACCACACCCACTGCAGATTCAAGTGTCAATTCTAGGAAGAGGTGTTAGCATAACAAGAACACCTGAGTAGCAAAATGCAAAACCACGAGGAAGACTTGAAGAAAAAGTATAAAATCAGAGTGTCGATGAACTTAATGTCTGGTTCATCCCAGCGTGGACCAGCAGCTAATAATGACTCAGAGACAAAAACTCATTCTCTATGTTACATAAGGCACGACAGACGCCATTCCTTGTCCTTAGCTATTAATCCATGACATTTGCAAAGGTAACGTCAAGCTTCTTTCCTTCTAATCTGCTAAATTTTTCAGAGTAACCCATAAAATATTACTTAGCTCAAGTTGTTATGGTATTCAAAAACATCAGTAAGAACCACACCCTGTCAGTGATAGATGGATCTTGACTAATTGGATGACAAGAAGTTAAAGGAAACAAGCCAGCAATACTGACAAAGGAAAGAAAGCACATAGTCCTACAAGGGAAATAAGAAACGCAAAACACACGACTGTAAGTGTTAGTGGCAGTGAGGTGGGCTGGGTGGGCTGAGGGGGTTCTGTAGGGGAAAGATGGATGGCTGATCAATTTTAAATATAATATTAGAAATATAGCTGATGAGGTGTCACATTATGAATATGGTCCAGGGACATAAGTTTAGTGTCAGAATGACTGGATCTCAAAACTTGACTATATCACTTATTGTCTCTATAATCCTAGATATGCTAACTTATCTTATTATGCTTTAGTTCCCTCATATGAAAAATGAGGATGACATCATGAGGATCAAATGAGTCAATGTAGGTGAATTGTCTATGCCAATACCTAGACTGAAAATGGTCACTGTTTTTGTTGGTTGGCGCAGATAAAATCACCCAACATCATAAAGTTTGCTCCAAATCTGGTTTCCTATCGAGAGGTGTTCCCTCTTCCTCTGCCATTTAGTTGAATTCTGCTTCATTCTTTAGGAGAAAGAGCTAAGCCTGGGGTATCTTTCCTCGTGCCCGTCCCCTTCCTCCGTGTATTGCCTTTGGAATGTTTGTGGTAATGGTTCTTCCTACTGTGATTTCTCTGCCTTAACAGTATTTCCTGCTTCTAGGAGTATGTGCACCTATGTTTCTCCCTTTGAAACCGCAAGGAAATGACAGTATTTTTTACATGACATAACCCCAACAGGAGTAAAAAGATAACAGCAATAAGTGTGGGATGCTCTTAAGCAGATGGATAAATGTTGTTCAACTTGGTTAAACTGAGGGGGCAGAATCCTGAGCCAAAGTGGGAAGAGCAGAAAAGCAGCTGCTTTTTTCTTACAGAGGACACCCAAAAGCTCAGGAATCTATCATGCAGGTATTGATGGAACTGGGTTTGAAAGTGAAGCTAGAAACATGAATGTTGATCAGAATTCCATTTAAGAGGTAATTCAGTTTCTAGATATCTTCTTACACACTATGTAGCCCAGGGACTGCTCTTCACCGGTTCCCCCAGAAGATGAGTGTTATTTTTCTAGAAAAGCTAAAAGAGGGTGGTCTCTGGCCAGGAGAATACAGTGGGCATACTGTTCAAAAAGGGAACTGACTCCCAGCTGTCTTCCCTCACTAAGCTTCTGGAATATGAAAAGGTCTATAATTTCAAGTCAGGAGAATGATGACCCTTCTCTGGGGAATTTGACCAGCTCAAGAGGAAAGACCTAAAGATACTAAAATTAGAGTTTCCCTTAGGAAATGGCCCAGCCAGGTCACCTCACATGGAGGCTCACATCCAGTAAGCCCATCCATGTACTCAGAGCTTCCAAGCAGAGCTGTGATGCTTTGCCTTTAAATATCAGCAGACAACCAAGGATCACAAGACAATTGAGGTATGTCTTTAAAAATAAAGATGGAGACCAAAACAAACAGAAAAAAAAAACAACTTGGAGAAACAGAGACAATATGAGAAAACACTTACAATATAATTGATATTCTCAGAGAAAGCATCCTTAAAACAGGGTACTATTTAAAAAAATCAAGGGAATAAAAGAGAGCTTTTGGAAATTAAAAACACTGTAGCTGAAATGGAAAACTCCCTAGAGGGGTTGGAAGATAAATTTACGGAAATATCTCAGAAAGTAGAACAAAAGGCAGACGTGTGTGTGTGTGTGTGTGTGTGTGTGTGTGTGTGTGTGTGTGTGTGTGTGGGGGGGGGGAGAGGAATGACAAAAGATAAGACTAGAAAAATAGTGGGGATGAAATCATCATTAATTCAAGACAATTTCACAGAATGAAGTGCCCAGCACAGTGGGTGAACATAATCCCACATTAAGGCACATCATCATGAGCTTTGAGACCGTGTGTGTAATTTTCGTTAGGTCAATAATTACATTATATTAATAATATTCTCTGATTACTTTTCTGCACAAGTTTGTTTTCTCTGGTGTTAGTCACTATTTTCT